TGGATCTTTGTTCTGGTTTGTTGGCTGGGGCCTGGAATTGGACCCCATGCATTTCCGTGACCCTGACCGGACCTCTCCAACCTGCGTTCCCGCAGTCTACGGTCTATTTGAATCGTCAGGGCTATTAGGTCTTCTAGTGACTCGGGAACCCCCACTCGGGCCAGCTCATCCTTCAAGGGCTCTGACAGACCCATACGGAACTGGTGTCGCAACGCGAACTTGTTCCAGCGTGTGTCCCCCATCCAGCACCTAAATTCAGAGGCGTATTCTTCTGCCGCCCGGCGGCCCTGTTGAAGCGTGGATAACATTGCTTCAGCAGAGGCTGCCCGCTGTGGATCATCATAAAGGATGGCCATAGCTTCAAAAAAAACCGCTGACCGTTCCCAGGTGAGGGTCATGGTTTGCCCTTAACCGATGGGCCCAATCTTGGGGTTCACCCTGCAATAGTGAAATTAAAAATCCCACTTTCACTGATTCCGTTAGGAAGGTGCGGGGTTGCAATTCAAAAAACAGGAGGCAGGAATCCCGAAAAGACCTGAAGCGTGTTCGGTCCCCGTGAAAACGCTCAGGTAGTGGTACTCGGGGTTCAACCCTCGGTAGAGGAGCAGAGGCCCCTGAAGCTGGCCCCAGAGCTTCCTCTACCGGGGGAACGGAAACAGGGGCCTGTGGAGCAGGGCCAGATGCAGAGCGGGTCTGGAAACGGTTTTCCAGGTGCGTGCATTTGTCCTGCAAGGTTGCCACAGCCTGTGTCAGGGCCGATAGGTGCCTGCAAATATCTCCCAGCGGGGCTGACCCTCCTCCAGGCTCAGTCATGGCCTTCTGGTACTGTAAGGGACCACCAGGCGGTACCACTAGCACTCCACTGGCCAGGCGTCCCCAGCGCACGGTATCTAAGCCCCAGGGTACGTGTTCACCAGAGCCCCTGATGGTGGGGATGGACTTGAAGTACCCCGAGACCAGGTCGTGGCTACTGAGCACGCCTGTCAGTGGTAGCGGTATTCGCCAGGGGCTCCCGCAGGGAAGAGCCTGATGTGAGGAGGTCGGGTGATCCCGTCGGGATGGATGGATGGATAACTGAGCAAGTGCGGGGTCAAACGGGCCGGGTCGGTAACAGTGGGGACGGAGCAGTATAAGGCAGCGGGCAAAGAGTAGTCGGGTCACACGCCAGGTCAGCAACGGAAGGTCAGATCCAAACGGGGGCATACAGGAGAGAGGTCAGGCAAAGCAAGGGTCTGGGCAGGAGAAGGCAACAAGGTCAGGTACAATCCGGGTCAATAACTTACTTAGAACAGGTTCGCAGATACAGGATACAAGGAAAGACCAGAAGGCACTGAATGACAGCTCAGGGCCGTTTAAATATCCCGCCCTGCGCTGCCATTGGTGCCACGCGCGCGCCCGCGGTCCCTACTGCGCATGCGCGAACTCCCTCGCCGCGGACGGCCAGGTCTCAGTGCCCGCATTCTGACACGGGGCGAGCTATGGTTACACCAGAAGCCAGAAGAGAAGAGCCATGGTCAAGAACTAGCTGGGGTCAAATCAGGAATCAATAGAGACCAGCCATTGTCAGGGACTAGCCAAAGTTAAATTAGGAATCCGGTAGATACAAGCTGTGGCCAGAAACTTGCCAAGATTAAACAAGGAATCAGCAGAGACAAGTTGTGGTTAGGAACTTGCTGAGGTCAAACCAGAATTCAGCAGAGACAAGCCATGGTCAGGAACTAGCACAGGTCAACAGCAGAGTAGGGGCAACTCCAAGGACATGCAAGGGCATCAACAATGGGGAAGCAGATTTTAGGAACAGGTTTGGAGTTCAAGCTGCAGGTAACAGCTGAAGATCATCCAGCAATTTACTAACTCAGCTCTTTTCCTTAAATTGGCCAAGACTGGAATTAGGTGTACATGCCACTGCACCTGTAAGGGAATTCCCGTGAGACAGCTGGTGAATAGACGTGCACAGAAATGCATGATCATGCACACGCATGGCAAAGATTGGCGCCAGACCGACTATTTAAGACGTGCCTCTGCATGTGCTGAGTACTGACTGGTCTTCAGTTCTCCCGTGTCCTGCTTGTTCCTGTGTGATTCCTTTGTTGCTGACCCGGCTTGTTCCTCACCTGACTCTGATTACTCTCCTGATTGATACTGGTTCCTGACTTCAGCTCTGCTCCTGACCTTGGCTTTCCTTCTGATTCTGTACCGTGCTGCCTGACTGTTGATGACCCTGGCTATTCCATGATACTGCTCCTGTCTCTTACCCTCACTACCTGCCTTGCTCTGGTGCACAGCTGGCAATCTATAAGACCTGCTCTGCTTGTTACTACTGTGCCTGGATGAGAAGATCATGGTCTTCCAAGGTCATCATCTGCAAGAGCTGCAAACAACAACTACTGGCGCTCTTGTTCCCCTGGGTTCTAGACTCCCGCTGTTCCAACTCCAGTGGGGTCAGGGCTAGTGACACAAGTGAGGCCAACCTCATCATTTCAGTCTCCAATCAGGTACCTGATAGCACCTGTGCATGCATACATCCGTGTGCCATGACCTTGTGAATAAAAATGTCCATGGAAATTATCCTTCTTGCATAAAATAGTGTGCACACACAAATTTTTCTGATGCCATCTAGACAAGGACTTTCATATTGCTAATAAGTCAATGTGGGAGCTCCAGAGTCTTGTGCAGAGGAGTGGCGCAGGCAGTTCAGTCTGTCTTGTAAACTGGTTGACCACTGGTGAGTTTGTCTTGAGTGGGTTGGATCAGTATCTGACAATCAAGTGAGGTCTGTTCTACAAGGTTCTTCCTTCAGTTCTCCCTTTTGGGGAGAGGAAGAGTCAATCTTTTCCTCTGCCCTCTCTTAGGGGAGAGATGTTTCTAGAGAGCAGGCTGATTGCCTTGTGATAAGCCCCAGGGTTGGAACAAGTGCCTTGAGTGTATTTCCCCACTATGTAGGGAGAGTGCAAAGTAATGGAGACCTAAACCAAGCTATGGTAGAATTTACAACAGAAACACACTTGAACCTTCTGTTTTTTGTGGCTGCACTGCTCTGGGAAGAAGAGCCTCCTGAATGCTTAAGCCCACCCACTGACTGCTAGCTGTTGGAGCCCCTTTTGACTCTGTTGGATATTCTATCTTTTCCCATCCTACCCCATGTTTATAGTAAAGAGTTGAAATTGCATATTAAAGCTGGACCTGTACTACTTCTACTAGAGAGTGTAGGCATAGCATAACCTAGGACAAGGTATTGGTAGAAGGGAGTACCCCTTGCTAGCCCAAGGCCCTTCTAGGGGAAGGCACTAAAGACTCACAAATTTGAAGAATTGAGCATTTTGCTGTGTTGGAAGCCCATTAAAAAATGGGCTTCCTTAATGTAATGCATGTTAAAGTGAGGAATCCCACACAGTGATGTGCATGCGCATGTACTGTGACTCAAAGGGCAAGTCTAAAGAGGGCCTTACAGTTACAAATGGTGGATTGGTGGAAGCAGTGGAAATGCTGGGTACTTTTGTGTCCTTTGGATTCTCCTGCTATTCTTGCTTCAGTCTATTGTCTGTATAAAGTACATTCCAAGGGAGAGAGGTCAAAGAGAAGGAGGACAGCAAAGAGAAAGGTGGAGGAGAACCGTCTCATCTGTTCTCCATTATGTTATTATACACAGCCCTCAACTTTCACATTAAAGTGGAATTTTAGTCAGTAAATTACATCCCGCTACCAGGGGTGGACTGACAACTCATGGGGCCCCCGGGCAATAGGGGATCATGGGGTCCTTGTGTCCTTGCCCACACCCAAAAAAGCCTATGAAAAAGCCAATGAAAGGTACCAGGGGCATCTCATGGGGCCCCCTACTGACCCCGGGCCCTCGGGCAGTGCCCGAGTGCTCAAATAGTCAGTCCGCCCCTGCCCGCTACAGCACGTCAGGCTGGCCCCTTTTGCAGATATAGCTATAAAAATCATTACAAATAAATGCACATACTGTTTTAAATCCAGTAATACACGGTCCCACCTGCTCTGCACATGCTCGGTTGCTCTCTATTTTTTGGCATTGTGCTGAAATTGTAGAAGAGGATCCTCTGACAGCCTAAAGATTTACTGCTGCTCTGGGGCTCTGAAGCTTCAGCAAAATTGCCTCCTCCAGCAAGAAGAAACAGTAGCAATGCTGGAGGCAATTTACAGCACACATTCATTTTGGTAGCATCAATATTAATGTAGACTGTATGGTCCTTGCTATTGAACATAATTTTTTATCAAGTTGTTATGGGTACAGTTCCACTTTAAGGTGCATATGGAAGCTCTGGGTCCTTAGGATCCTAACTACACCCCCGATCTAAACCAACCAGGGAGCACTTATCTATTTACATGTCTGTCCCTTTAGATTCTTCAGTGTTTGAAAACATATTCATGAAATATGACGCATTTACAGTTCATCAGAATTTCTTTATATGTGCTGATATAATAAAGCTGGAAAATTATCTGTATTAAAGCGGAGCCCCACCTAAAAGGAGAAGTCTTCATCCCCCTCACCCCATTGGCACCTTTGGGGAGGGGGGTACCCGAATTTGACTGGTAACTGCTCCCACTTCCACTGCGATCAACAAGGCAATCGGAAGAGGAAGCTTTCCCCCCCCCGTAGTCTTCTAGGACAGATGACAGGTCCCAGAAGACTACGTGACCATTCACAAAGCACAGCGCTACTCGCGCATGCGCATTGGACACCCGGCTTTGAGGCCACAAGCTGTCACAGCCGGGTGCCCACACTGAAGATTCCAGCACTGGGGAGAGAGGATGGCCAGTGAACCCGGCTGCAGTGAGGACACCATGGGATCCAGGGACAGGTGAGTGTCTGTTTTTTAAAAGTCAGCAGCTATAGTTTTTGTACTGTAGCTGCTGACTTTTTTAATTTTTTTAAATTTGACTGGACCTCTGCCTTAAGGACAGCAGAGATAAGGAGATAAGGACACACATTATATTGCATAGCTGAGATTATTCCGGTATTTTCCTCCTCCAGATCTTATGAGATCATTGTCTTTGGCGGTCAGGAAGGCAATTCAACAAAGGAATGTCTGAATTTCAAGAACACCCCATACAACTCCAACTGGCCTCCAATCCGTTATACTGCAGCTGTTCTTCCTGCAGAGACCCTCACTGGACCCAGAACCTTCATCTTGGGGGATAACCACCATTATAATGGGTTCCACAATGCTCCTCTTATCCCCAACCACAACTACACCGTCTACATTCGGGTCACCAGCCGCTGGAAACAGGTATGTCTATACTGATGTCTTCCTGGTGTGTGAGTGCCATGAATGAGGGCTGAGAGTCGCTGTTTTTTGGAGATTGTGGAAATAATTGCAGATTCATGAATAGGAATCTAAGTACAAGTCATTTAATTAACATATTTGGTGTGTTATGGTTCCTAGAGAGTTATGTTTCAGTGAGTGCTTGTGAGAAGGGTGCAATACAAAGGCACAACTGTCCTGAGCCGCTTATGAACCTTGACATCGGTCTGGAGACTTGAAAGATGCCAACAGTGTCTGCAACGAGGAATGCGACCTGGCCATTTCACACCCAAAGAGGAGGCTTCCTAAAGTGAGGTAGAAATAGTCCCTACACTGTCCACCCTCCTCCGAAACCTTCCCTACCACTAAGCACTGTCCCTACCAGACGCGTATCCTGTCCATATACTAAGCACTTGCTTAATTACAAACCCAGGAGCCTTAAATAGTCTCTGCCTGACCCAAGATGGCCACTGAAGTCACATGGCATGCCGGCGTCCATTTAGACAGCTGCCTCCTTGTGACCGCAGGAAGTCAGAGGAACCAAGTTCCTCACAACTTTCTTCCCCTTCTTTATTGATTAATATTTTAAAGGATGTCTCTGTTGGGGACCATATTTATTTGGTGACGGTAGACATTGAGTCACTTTATACCAATATTAAACAAAGTGATGCTTTGTTAGCTACTAATCTATCACATTTAAAAGAACCTCAAATCCAATTTATATGGGAATCTTTAAGGATGCCCACACGAGAAAAATATGTTTCATAAAATATTTTAAAAATATTCTTCCCAAATATATTGACATATATTTGAAATGCTACAATTTTGGCCGTATTCAATATATTTCAATACATATATAAAATATATACTGTACATTGAAATGCGTTTTTTTATATATTACAAAATGTATGAAAAATATTTAAAAATATATATATATTTTTAAATAAATTCTTCTGTTTTTTTTTAACATATAAAAAAAGTAATTTTTACATATTGTCACGTACTAGGAGCGCAGAGAGCGAGCACAAGGAGACAGATTGCACGGAACCTGAGGTGCCGGCATTTATTGGGGAGTTTTTCGGGGTACAGACAATAGATCCGTTGTCCACAGATCAACACCAGACAGAGCAACACAGTAAAGTTCTCTGGAAGGCAATATGGGACAACAGGGGGCCAATACTCCTCCAGGTTCAACAGGACAGAGGGCTGGAGGTTCTGTGGGAATTGGGGTTCATGGGGAGAATTGGGCTCAGTCTTTCGGGCAACATGGGGTTAGTCCACTTACTGGATGCAGGGAGCCGGACACAGAGGGTTACAGTCCACACAGGCAACGCATGGCCAATTCACATAGGCAGCTCCAGGCAGCAAAGGGTTACGTCCACCAGGGGAGAGATCTGGGCAGCAGCCGCACTGGCAGCAAAGGGTTAAGTCCACCAGGCTCACGGACAGCAAAGGGTTAAGTCCACCAGGCTCACAGGCAGCAAAGGGTTAATTCCACCAGGCTCACAGGCAGCAAAGGGTTAAGTCCACCAGGCTCACAGGCAGCAAAGGGTTAAATCCAAATGGCACACAACAGGGAGCAGTCTCCGGCAGGCAATGGGTTAAATCCGAATCGCACCCAACAGGGTGGCAGAACTAGGGCGGGCAAGGATTAAGTCCAAGACAAGATATTGGTATAGTGAGCGTTCTTTAAAGGATAGCAGCTAAAGCACTCAAGGAAACCACAGTAACCTCCAAATAACAATAAATAGGTAAAGTGCAGCGCTAATGATATATGGAATAAATGAGACAATGGATAAATAAATGTATAAAAATTTGTTCAGAGGATAAAAGTTCGTTCAAAGTATAAAACGTTCATAAATGGCACTGGTGATGTTCTCCAAAATAGCAGATCTCTAGTAAACTTGTGACTGGAATCAAACTGTAAAAATGCGCACTCACCGAATACGCATGGATAATGCGCATATAAGTATATAAACCACCTAACCATAAGTCCTTCTAAGAGTCCCTCTCCCCACATAGGTTAGCCTCCCCTCTGATGATGTGCCTTAGCACGAAAGGCCTCAGGAGGAGCTGACAGAGCGTGACGTCATTGCCGCCGGAGCCACGAGGAGGCCCGGCGGCCATCTTTCTTAAGGGGTCAGCGCTGCATTATTGTACCAATACAGTTTATGTGCTATATTTTGCATACTACCCTGAAACTTTTTTAAACTTTTTTAACTTTGACCTAATAAACCTTTTGGAACATACTACAGAACATACAGACAGTCCCATCAGGAGGGAGGGCTGCTGGAGACACCTCCCTTCCCCACTAAGCTAATACACATAAACACATACATCCCATAATAGTTTTCTCCCAAGCAGGACGCACAATAGAACAATGGGATGCAGCCACATAACACCAAACAATCCACAACCCCCACCCCACCTATCTCCTAGACATGTCTACACAGTCTGAGACAAAGCCCACACAATATGAGGACAGATCACCCTGCACCCCTAACAGGCACAGGGTGACTTACACATACGAGGAATATGGGGAGCTGAGACAGGGGTCTCCCCACCTCTCCAACGTGAGCTGTGTTCCATGGGCCCCCCACCCAAAGTCACTCCCGTCACAGTGATGGCGATCGGTACTGTCTGAGATCTCACAGAGGAGACCACGGCAAGCTTCGTATTCATTCCACATGGTGTGGGGACTGTTTGATTTATAGACATTTATTTTACATTTAACTTTTGTATTTGGTGGTAACACATTTTTTGAGGTATATATTCTATGGAACAAAGTTATGTGTGTTCATTTCTTTAATGAAGAAACAATGTAGTACTGTCTGTGATACTTTTTTTTATTTGCACTAACATACAATTTTCAGGACAAGCTTTTGGGGTACGCCCCCTTCTTCATGGCCCAAGCAGTGCAAGGTTTGGACCTTGAAGAAGGGGACATACCAGGGGCGGACTGACCATTCGACCACTCGGGGCACTGCCGGGGGCAGTGCAAGGTTTGGACCTTGAAGAAGGGGACATACCAGGGGCGGACTGACCATTCGACCACTCGGGCACTGCCCCGGGCCGGGGTCAGTAGAGAGCCCCATGAAATGCCCCTGTTACCTTTTTTATAGGCTTTTTTGGGTATACTTTGAGAGTGGCCAAGGACACAGGGGCCCCATGATCCCCTATTTCCCAGGGGCCCCATGAGCTGTCAATCCGCCCCTGGGACATACCCCGAAAGCTTGTCCTGAAAATTGTATGTTAGTGCAAATAAAAAAAGTATCACGGACAGTACTCAATTATTTTGTGTGGCAAGTGCACTAGTATGGCTACAATCAGTCCTTTCATGGTCATTGGTGGTCGCAAACATTTTTTTTTTTCTATAAATCGATTATTAAAGGGTCCCCATGAGGGAGATTTCACTTCATTTGCGGTCCATGCGGCAGGTGCCAGACAGAGCTATGAGAGGATAAATATCTCCTTTGTGGAACCGGAGACAAAACATTTAACAAGTCCAGCCCTTCCCCGTCCATTAAAAAGGACTGGAGTTGACCTTTAACTGGCCGCTTCATAAAGGTTTGAAATGGTTTGGATTTCCCTTTTTTAACCCCTCGCCCTCCAGAGGATTCCCCCCGCCCCTTCCTGACCAGGCCATTTTTTTTTTGCGATACGGCGCTGTGCTACTTTAACTGACAATTGCGCGGTCGTGCAACGCTGCACCCAAATTAAATTTACATCCTTTTTCCCCCACAAAATTGAGCTTTCTTTTGGTGGTATTTGATCTATACCGCGGTTTTATGTGCGATTTTTTATTTTTGTGCTATAAGCAAAAAAAGAACAACAATTTTGAGAAAAAAAAAAACAATATTTTTTGGCTTTTTGCTATTAACGTCTCGCCCTCCAGAGGATTTCCCCCCTTCCTGACCGGGCCATTTTTGCGATAAGGCACTGCATTACTTTAACAATTGCGCGGTCATGCAACGCTGCACCCAAATGAAATGTATGTCCTTTTTTCCCCACGAATAGAGCTTGCTTTCAGTGGTATTTGATCACCTCTGCGTTTTTTTTTTTATTTTTTGCACTATAAAAAAAAAAAAAAACAGATTTTGAAAAAAAAAACAATATGTTTGACTTTTTGCTATTAAACATGTCCTGTAAAAAAAAATGCAAAAAATCAAATTTCACCATAAATTTTGGTCAAAATGTATTCTGCTCCGTATCTTCGCTAAAAAAAAATCCCAATACGTGTAAATTAATTGGTTTACGTGAAAGTTATAGCGTCTACAAATGGCGGGAAAGATACTGGGATTTTTTTTATTTTTACTAGTAATGGCGGCAATCAGCGACTTATAGCAGGACTGCGGCGGGCATTCTGACACGGGGGGGAACTGACTTGGTGTCCTTGACATCCCCAGTGACACCAATAATGTGATCATTGCTAAAAAAAAAAAAGCCCTGACACTGTACTAATGGCACTGGACAGGAAGGGGTTAACATGTGGGGCGATCAAAGGGCTAACTGTGTGCAGGGAGTGTTTGTGATTCACTGTAGGCACACTGCTTTGGATGGCTGTGCTGTGCAGAGCCATCTAAAGCAGTGCGCACAAGCTGACAGGGAGGAGAACTGTTTTGTTTACAAACAGTTCTCCTCCCCATCGGAGATGCTCAGCAATCACTGGGCGCCGGAGAGTACTCACCGGCCGGGACCCGGCGATTGACAGCCGAGGCTGCGAATTGCATGTCCCCTACCCGTAAATGCAAAATCATGTATATATACATGATTTTGCACACCTGTGCCACCCTGTAGCAGTGTTTCTGCTATAGGGTGGTCGGGAAGCGGTTAAAGGGTAACTCCGCTTGTTCAGATCAGCCATGGAAGAGTGTGGAATGAATTGTACACATTGGTATGACTGGCTGTCCAGACCGGCCATGGAAGAGTCTGGAATAAATTGTACACATTGGTATGACTGGCTGTCCAGATCGGCCATGGAAGAGTCTGGAATGAATTGTACACATTGGTATGACTGGCTGTCCAGCCTGGCCACGGAAGAGTCTGGAATGAATTGTACACATTGGTATGACTGGCTGTCCAGATCAGCCATGGAAGAGTCTGGAATTAATTGTACACATTGGTATGACTGGCTGGTTGTCTGATGAGCCATGGAAGAGTCTGGAATGAATTGTACACATTGGTGTGGCTGGCTCTCCAGATCGGCCATGGAAGAGTCTGGAATGAATTGTACACATTGGTATGACTGGCTCTCCAGATCAGCCATGGAAGAGTCTGGAATGAATTGTACACATTGGTACGACTGGCTCTCCAGATCAGCCATGGAAGAGTCTGGAATGAATTGTACACATCTTCCGTGGCTCTCCAGATCAGCCATGGAAGAGTCTGGAATGAATTGTACACATTGGTACGACTGGCTCTCCAGATCAGCCATGGAAGAGTGTGGAATGAATTGTACACTTTGGTATGACTGGCTGTCCAGATCAGCCATGGAAGAGTCTGGAATGAATTGTACACATTGGTATGACTGGGTCTCCAGATCGGCCATGAAAGAGTGTGGAATGAATTGTACACTTTGGTATGACTGGGTCTCCAGATCGGCCATGAAAGAGTGTGGAATGAATTGTACACTTTGGTATGACAGGCTGGTTGTCTGATGAGCATCTGTAGACTTTGATTATTTAAACGTCCCCACATGAGCTGTAATGTATTTATTTATTTTCTTTCTATTCCAAGGTGGAGAAATCATCATGTGCTTTTGTAGGATTCCTTCAAAGTAAGTTTGTGTGTTTGTATATATATGATTTGTTATGATTTTAATGGCTAAGTTCACCTTCGGGAACATGCAACATATTCCTACTGCTGCAGCCTCTCCTTGCCTCCCCCTCTTCTCTGTGACAGCAGGCCAGAGATCTTCTCCCCACACCCGCTGTCACATTTTGAAAAGAGGCGGAGCCCCGCACAGCCACGTCATTCATGCACAGGCTTCTGTGAGTAAATGAACTACAAGTACCAATATCCTTTGTGGCTGACGGTTTGTAGTTCTCAATGCAGGGGCGCTGGTGAGCACTCTTGTAGTCCATTGAGTCCTCCTTTCTTTCTGTAACGGCCTGCCCATGTGATGTACGAGCAGACAACAACTCTGACAATCTGCAGGAGCTTTGCATTGCACCTGCAACCTGCTGAATGCTTTACAGGCTTCCACAAAAAAAAGGTTTATTCTTCTCCTTCATGTGTATAGCTATTTTGTAGTTTAAGATAGAGCAGTGAAGGGTTAAAACCCCTTTTTCTCTGTCTGTGCACCATTGGGGGAAATAACCTTCACTTTCTGTCCCAGGCGCAATGGGAAATTGAAGGAGTTCTCCCAAAGTGAGGGGAACCCCACCTGGAACAGGAGTCCCTATTAGAAGTTTTCCTCTCACCTTTTTTTTTTGGGGGGGGGGGGGGGCAACTCTAATGTTTTGGATTTCCTCTTACTTTCTTTCACCAGGACAAACGGAGAGAGCTCTATCTCATCTTACTCACGTACCTCAATATTGAAAAACCAGGCAGTGGCCACTGTTGCTATCTCAAAACAGGTTTTCACTATTGATTGGTGTACATGGAACTCATTCCATATTGATATACTAGAGTGCATTGTCCACATCAATACCCCAGAATGTATTATCTAGTAATAGTTCTCTCTTTTAGTTTCCATCACAGTTCCTGTGAGCAGCAACATTCACATCATTGTGGGGTCGATTTTCACTGTCATTTTACTGCTCATCCTTCTTCTTCTGGTGATCCTATGGAGGAGCCGCTCTTCACGGTTTGTGTCTGTTTCTGAGAATATAATATTTTAAACTGTCACTAGATTAAAATTCCTCTGGATCAAATCCTTGGATTGCAGATTTGTAACTATATGAGAACATAAAGTATACCCATGCTTCTTAAAAACTCTAAGAATAGGTAGATATATCAATTGGACAACTAAAGGAACCTTCAAATTGATGTACCTTCAAATCATACTGGAATAGTGTAAGGTATCAACTTTAATACATGTAATACATTGGTACACCTAAAATAAAAGCAGAGACAAAGCAATATTAGAAGACACAGTATAGTAACAGAGCCACTACTGTACTCAACTGCCCAAGACTGGCCAGCCAAAAGGGGAGCACACAAGGAGTTGGAATTGGGTGCCAGAGAGGTGTCCACCATGTTTTGTTTTGTTTTTTTTATTTATTTATGGATTTCAAAATGCCAATATCATCTGATTTGAAAAAGTGTTTAAACTAGTCATATGCATAGGAAGGGCTTCAGTTCTATCACTAGTAGTCTTGGTGTGACCCATAAATATACCTTTTTTTTCCTCAACAGTAAATCAAGACGTTCATCTGATATTCCATTAAAGGCTCAAACTAGATTGAGTAAGTTGAAAATATTATTTTTTGGAAAATATCTGGGGTGGAGGATATTGGGGGCTCAAACACCCCAAGTCTACTTTAATTACTATTTGTTTCATGAGAAGAGAGGTTGAAAGCAGGCATGGAGGGTACAGATGAGTACAGGTGAGCACTACCATTGAAAGCGGGCAAGGAGAGAACCACTGAGTACTACCGCTGGAAGCAGGTATGGAGGGTACAAGTGAGTACTGCCACTGGTAGCAGGCATGGAGGGTACAGATGAGTACAGGTGAGTACTGCTACTGGAAGCAGACATGGAGACTAAAGATTAGTACAGATGAGAACTGCCATTGGAAGCGGGCATGGAGAGAACAAATGAGTACTACCACTGGAAGCATGTATGGAGGGTACAAGTGAGTACTGGTGAGTACTGCTACTGGTAGCAGGCATGGAGGGTACAGATGAGTACTGGGGAGTACTGCCACTGGAAGTAGGCATGGAGAGAACAGATCAGTACTGGTGAGTACTACCGCTGAAAGCAGGCATGGAGAGAACAGATGAGTACTGGTGAGTACTACCGCTGGAAGCAGGTATGGAGGGTACAGATGAGTACTGCATATGGGAGGTTCAGCTAAACCACAGCGATGTATTGCTTGACAGCCAAAACCATTCACAACTAAAGTGTTGCTAATCAGGAGAGCTGTCTCCCTGTTGGCTGCCACAGTGAATGGAAGAGCTGACTCTTGCTGGTAATGGCACCAGTGATATAGATGAAATTCCAGAAGTGGTGGTGGACACCTCCTGGAGAGGACACCCAGCACTGGACCCCAGCAAAGATGAGTGTGGCAGTATTATTGCTATTATACAGGATTTATATGGCGCCAACAGTTTGCACAGCATTTTACAATATAAAGGGGAACAGTACAATTACAATACAGTTCAGTACAGAAGGAATAGGAGGGCCCGGCTCATGGAGCTTACATTCTTAAGGATGGGATAGGTGGTACAAAAGGTTTCAGCTGCAGCGGATAATCTGATGGAGGTGACTCAAGTACAGTTCTTAGGTGGAGGTGGGGTAGGCTTCCCTGAATAAGAGAGTTTCAAAGATTGCCTAAAGGCAGACAGGGTGAGGGCTGACCGGACATACTGGGGTAAGGAGTTACAGAGGATGGGAGAAGTCCTGGAGGCAAGCGTGGGAGGAAGCGATGGGGGAGCTAGAGAGCAAGATGTCTTGGGAGAAGCAGAGCAAACGATTTGGACGATATCTGTGGATGAGGTCGGTGATGTAGCTAGGGGCAGTGTTGTAGATGACTTTGTAGGCTGTGGTTAGTATTTTAAATTTTATACGTTGGGTTAGTGGAGGTCAGTGGAGGGATTGGCAGAGAGGGGTGGAGGACACTGAATAGAGGCCAGTGGAGGGATTGGCAGAGAGGGGTGGAGGACACTGAATGGAGGCCAGTGGAGGGATTGGCAGAGAGGGGTGGAGGACACTGAATGGAGGCCAGTGGAGGGATTGGCAGAGAGGGGTGGAGGACACTGAATGGAGGCCAGTGGAGGGATTGGCAGAGAGGGGCAGCAGTCACTGAATAGTTGGTAAGGTGTATGAGTCCAGCAGCATTGAAGGGGAGATAGCCTGTGTAGGGGTAGGCCAGTGAGGAGGGAGTTGCATTAATCAAGGCGGGATATAACCAAGGAGTGGATAAGTTGTTTTGTGGTGTCATTAGTCAGAAAGGGGCGGGTTTTGGAAATGTTGTGGAGGTTAGAATTGCCTCCTCATCCCTTTAAAAATGAACACATACTAATTACACAGGTTACACAGGCTAATTGAATGCAGATATGGTTCTAAGTGAGTTTAACCTCCCTGGCGGTATGATTATTTCAGATTTTTGGTGCTGAAAGCGGTACCATTTTTTTGCATGGAAATATGTATTTTTTTTATTGTAGGCTGTAATTTTTAGGAAAAACTCACTGAAATCTGTCCGAACAAGAGTCTAGTAAACATCCCGGGGAGGATAAAATTTGAAACACAAAATCATAAATTATAATTTAATAAATAATCATAAAAATAATATAAAAATAATAAAAAATTTAATTCAATAATATAATCAAACCAAAAAACACTGAAATGTGAAATAGAGCGCCAAGTTCGCACATTGCTGAGCTCAGTCGCAAAATCGTTTTCAGTGTCTGATGACGAATTTCCCCCACAAATCATTATCACTCAATTCTGCAAGTGGTTCTGATTTACTATCGCTGTTCTCTAGCTGATCTAAACCGCTTTTGACCTAAAGGGACACTTTTTGGACGCCATGGACATTTCTCAGTTTCCAGGCAGAAAGAACAGACAAAATGCAGGCAGGGCGCCGGACAAAGCACTCGGGACAAAATGTATGTGAAATTGGTTGAGAGAGCAATGTTTTACTATGTAAAATGTAAAAAAAAAAAAAAAAAATGACATTTTTTAAAATTTTTAAATTTCTCGCCGCCGCCGGCGGCGGCGCCCGTACGTCCCGACGTCACAGGGACAGGACACAGAAGCCGGATGCCGGCGTCGGCCGGAGGAGATGGCCGGGGACGCTGCAGGGGACACAACGTGGGAGCGCAGGGTAAGGTAAGTGAAGAACACATGCCGGAGCAGTCCGCAGGGTAAGCCCGAGTGTAGCTCGGGGTTACCGCTTTTGGTACTGAAATGTTACCCCGAGCTACACTCGGGAATACCGCCAAGGAGGTTAATTACCACTTTATTCAGCCACACTACCTGTATAATTAATATGTGTTTGGGTTTTAAAGGGATGAGGTGGCCACCCTATCGGAGGTTGAGGCGGCAGGATTTAGCCAGTGAGTGGATGTGGGGCCCTAAGGAGAGGTCAGAGTCTAGGGTTACGTCTAGCACCTTGGCATGAGGGGAAGGACCAACGGTTGTGCTGTAGATCTTAATGGTAAAGTCATGAGTGGGGGATCAGGGAGGAGGAAATATCACAAGCTCAGTTTTAGAAATGCTGAGTTTGAGGAAGTAATGTCACATCCATGCTGAAATGTCGTCCAGTAGATTTGTGATATGTGAGATCAAGGGGGAGAGCTGGGGAGTGGAGAGATAGTGGAGAGATAGATCTGGGTGTTGTCACCATAGAGGTGGGATTATGGGAGGTTATCAATTGGCCCAGGGAGGAGGTGTAGAGAAAGAAAAGGAGGGGCCCAAGGATGGAGCCTTGGGGTAGCCCAACAGAAAGAGGAAGAGGAGCGGAGGAGGAGTTGTATGAGGAGTTGTATGTGACATTGAAAGTGCGCTGAGAAAGGCAGAAGCAGAAAGTAACAATATGAAGAGAATCCCCAAATACCCAACACCAGATTTTATTTCCCTGATATCATCAAAGAGTATAATCTAATAGTGTACACTCCTAATTGGATTCCTACACTTCATGCGACTGTTTTTTTTTAACTCAATTTAGTTTTTTGATAATATTAGGTATATGAAGACTTTTTTTGGATGTTTGTAGACATTTTCCTTTTCTTGCTTCTTGCTGAAAAGATCCTTTTTTGTTTTGTTTTGTTAGAAAGGTCACTATTACTCTAACTACTAGACATGTGTAATTTATTTCAGTTCAAATCTAAATTCAAATGATTTTTGATTATTCAGAGATTTGGATGCATCCAAATTTCCGAATACCAATAGTAACAAATTTCGTTTAAATTTTTTTTTTGTTTCATTAATTTGTTTTCTAACAAATTCCAAATTTTCAGAACAATTTCAATTTGAATCAGCCAAAAATTCATCGACCGATCTGAATTCTGTATGAAGAATAGCTGGTTGTTTAAGAGAGGGCTGGAAAATTGGACACCGCGTCGTTAGCAACCAATGGCTCATCAACTGTCAGTGGTTTCCCCACTGACAGCTGAATGTACAAAAAAAAGAATTTCCGGAAATTATTTATTTTACGGCGTTGCCCCCCCTATCCATATCGGGCATTATGGGTCTGGTATGAATTCTATGGGGAACCCAACACCAAAGAAAGAATTTAAAAACGGCATGTGGTCCCCCCAAAATCCATACCAGGCCCCTATCTGAGCATGAAGCCCAACAGGCCAGAAAAGGGGGCGGCGACCGGGAGCCACCTCCTCCTGAACCATACCAGGGCATGTTGATGGGGACAAGGGTCTCCTCCCCACAACCCTGGACTGTGGTTATGGGGGTCTGCGAATGGGGAGCTTATTGGAATCTGGAAGTCCTTTTTTAAAAAACAAAAAATAAATGTCCCCCGAAGTAGATCCAACGTCAATCACAATGAACGCCAGACTCCGACCTGAAGAAAGAAAAAAAAAAAGAACCCCGCACCCTACGAAGGCTCCCGCCGTCTGACAGCTCCACTGAATGACAGTTCTTAAATAACAAAGGGGAAGGGCCACCCAATGATGTTGCTGGGTGACCCTGCCAGCTTTTGACATCATTGACTGGGGCATGCTGGGTCAATGAAGTCACAAGGGGGCGGGGGTCACTCGGTGACATCATCGGGTGGGCCTGTCCCTTTGTTGTTTAAGAATTGTCAGATGGTGGGTGCGATCGTCGGGTGCGGAGCTCTTTTTTTTTTTTTTCCTTCAGGTTGGCGGCCGGTGTTCATTGTGATTGATGATGGATCTAATTCTGGGGACATTTATTTTTTATTTTTTGTTTGTTAATAAAGGACTTGTCAAAAACTGGTGTGTTTTTTCTCACTTTTTACACTTTTTTGGTGAATGAGCAAGAGTACTATATACCCCGTATTTATTCATATGGGGGGGGGGGGGGCTGGGATCTGGGTTTAAAGAGGGCTTCCAGATTCTTACAAGTCCCACAGGCCAGGGTTGTGGGGAAGAGTCCCTTGTCCCCATTAATGGGGACAAGGTGCTTTGGGGGGGAGTCCTCCTACTCCAAAGCTGCCCTCCATGTTAAGGGCATGTGGCCTGGTATGGTTCGGTTGGGGGGGGCACTCCCTTTCCTGACATGCTCGGATAAGGGTCTGGTAAGGATTGTGGGGGGGGCATGCTTTTTTTAATTTCATTTGGTTCTCTTTTTTTTTTTTTACATTCAGCCATCAGTGGGGAAACCACTGACAGCTGAGGAGTCATCGGTTGTTAAGGATGCGAAGACCGACTTCCCGGTCCTCTTCTTAACAACCAGCTTTTCTTCACACAGAATTCAGAACAAATTTTCAACCAATTCAAATCATTTTGAAAATTTGGAATTCCTTATAATAGAATAAATGTAAACTAAACAAATTACGAAATTAATCCACAAAATGAAATTAGTAATATAACGAATTTATCCAAAACAAAATAAACGTTTCCATGTCCTAACTCCCCCCATTCACTCTGTTTGTTTGATATCTCACTTAATGGTCATCTATATAAATATAATTGTGACATCAATCTATGGGGTTTATGTACTAAAGCTGGAGAGTGCAAAATCAGGCTCACATCTTCATAGAAACCAATCAGCTTCCAGGTTTTCTTGTCCAAGCTGAAGTTAGAAGCTGATTGGCTACCATGCACAGCTGCCCCAGATTTTGCACTCTATTGCTTTTAGTCTCCATGCACACTAGTGGTTTTGTTTAACCACTTCCAGTCCGGACACTTTCCCCCTTCCAGTCCGGACACTTTCCCCCCCTTCCAGTCCGGACACTTTCCCCCCCTTCCAGTCCGGACACTTTCCCCCCCTTCCAGTCCGGACACTTTCCCCCCCTTCCAGTCCGGACACTTTCACCCCCTTGCAGTCCTGACACTTTCCCCCCCCTTCCAGTCCGGACACTTTTCCCCCCCCTTCCAGTCCGGACACTTTTCCCCCCCTTTCCAGTCCAGACACTTTCCCCCCCCTTCCAGTCCGGACACTTTCCCCCCCCTTCCAGTCCGGACACTTTCCCCCCCCTTCCAGTCCGGACACTTTCCCCCCCCTTCCAGTCCGGACACTTTCCCCTCCTTCCAGTCCGGACACTTTCCCCCCCCTTCCAGTCCGGACACTTTCCCCCCCTCCTTCCAGTCCGGACACTTTCCCCCCCTTCCAGTCCGGACACTTTCCCCCCCCCTTCCAGTCCGGACACTTTCCCCGCCCTTCCAGTCCGGACACTTTCCCCCCCTTCCAGTCTGGACACTTTCACCCCCTTCCAGTCTGGACACTTTCACCCCCTTCCAGTCTGGACACTTTCCCCCCCCTTCCAGTCCGGACACTTCCCCCCCTTCCAGTCCGGACACTTCCCCCCCTTTCCAGTCCTGACACTTCCCCCCCCCTTCCAGTCCGGACACTTCCCCCCCCCGTCCAGTCCGGACACTTTCCCCCCCGTTCCAGTCCTGACACTTTCCCCCCCTTCCAGTCCGGACACTTTCCCCCTCCTTCCAGTCCGGACACTTTCCCCTCCTTCCAGTCCGGACACTTTCCCCCCCTTCCAGTCCGGACACTTTCCCCCCCTTCCAGTCCGGACACTTTCCCCCCCTTCCAGTCCGGACACTTTCACCCCCTTCCAGTCTGGACACTTTCACCCCCTTCCAGTCTGGACACTTTCACCCCCCTTCCAGTCTGGACACTTTCCCCCCCCTTCCAGTCCGGACACTTCCCCCCCTTCCAGTCCGGACACTTCCCCCCCTTCCAGTCCTGACACTTCCCCCCCTTCCAGTCCGGACACTTCCCCCCCGTCCAGTCCGGACACTTTCCCCCCGTTCCAGTCCTGACACTTTCCCCCCGTTCCAGTCCTGACACTTTCCCCCCCTTCCAGTCCGGACACTTTCCCCCCCTTCCAGTCCGGACACTTTCCCCCCCTTCCAGTCCGGACACTTTCCCCCCCTTCCAGTCCGGACACTTTCCCCCCTTCCAGTCCGGACACTTTCACCCCCTTCCAGTCCTGACACTTTCACCCCCTTCCAGTCCTGACACTTTCACCCCCTTCCAGTCCTGACACTTTCACCCCCCTTCCAGTCCGGACACTTTCCCCCCCTTCCAGTCTGGACACTTTCCCCCCCTTCCAGTCTGGACACTTTCCCCCCCTTCCAGTCTGGACACTTTCCCCCCCTTCCAGTCCGGACACTTTCCCCCCTTCCAGTCTGGACACTTTCACCCCCTTCCAGTCTGGACACTTTCCCCCCCTTCCAGTCCGGACACTTTCCCCCCTTCCAGTCCGGACACTTTCCCCCCCTTCCAGTCCGGACACTTTCCCCCCCTTCCAGTCCGGACACTTTCACCCCCTTCCAGTCCGGACACTTTCACCCCCTTCCAGTCCGGACACTTTCACCCCCTTCCTGTCCAGGCCAAATTTCAGCTTTCAGCACTATCACACTTTGAATGACAATTGCGCGGTCATGCAACACCGAACTCATATAAAGTTTTTAGCATTTTTTGAGACAGATAATGCTTTATTTTGGTGGTATTTATTCACCACTGGGATTTTAATTTTTTTTGCTATATAAATGAAAAATCCAAACAATTTGAAAGAAAAGTGTTTTTCTTATAAAATTTTGCAAATAAATAATCTTTCTTCATAAATCTTGGCCAAAATGTATAACCAAAAATTATAGTTTTTCTAAACTTTTTTTATATTTTTATTTTATTATTTTATATTATTATTTGTTATTTTTTAACATACTGTCACCCTAGCAATACAGTGTCACCATGGTGACAATGTACTACTTGTGGGGGGTGATGAAGATTTTTTTTTTTTTTACACTGATTGCTTTTACACACATAAAAGCTGTAAGAGGAATCATTTCTCCTTCTCTCTGGCTGCATTCCTGCAGCCATTGCGAAATACTCTGAGAGCTGTGATTGGTCACAGCTTGTCACATGGTACAAGGCTGTTGTGAATAGCCCTGTACCATGTGACCTCGGTGATCATTCACAGATTTCACACGTAGTAAGCCATGATGTCAGAAGTGACATCTTACTTACTACTGTTCATGTGATCACTGATTGGCCAATCAGTGATCACATGATCGGGACCTCACACAGAGAGGTAGCATTTAGAAGTGTTTAGGAGTGTTAGCATTTTACTTGTAAGAAAAAAAGCTAGAAAAAAAGCTGTGTAGGAGCATTTAGCTTTTTTTTTTCTGCTGGAAAACTCTCCAAAAAAACTCTACGAAAACAATTTTTTTTTTATGGTCTTGGATGCTGAAGCTCAAAAACCACTAATGGCCTAAAGTATTGTGCAGGGACACAAAGGAGAACACTATTTTACCTTCTAGAAGCTTAAAAAAATGCTAGGGTTCATGGAGCCTTAGTAAATCAACCACTATGTGTCACATTTTTTGATGATACCTATAAACATCGGAATCATAAAGTCTTGTACAATTTGCCAATCGTATCACGTTAGATTTGGCGGAGAATAACCATCTCCCTGATGGATAACTATTTTCCTACACCCTTTCCAGGTAAGAAGAGAGACATCCCTGTAGACAAATTCTTGGAAGTTGTGAAAAATTTCCGGAAGAAGGAATTAACGGACCAGGATGAAGTGGAGGAACAGAACGCAAACATTTCCCCGGTTGGACGGTACCTGGAATACCAGGTAGGACACCGTACAGTTTGGTGTTCACACATGGCCCAAGAGTTGTCAGACATTCAACAGATTGGAGTCTTCCATACAAAGACAAGACTATGATGGGATTATGGAGAGGATGATAATAAGTTCATCCAAGATCTGGAAACTCTTGTTGTACACATAAAATGTCCCCACTAGACTGGAAGTGGCTTAACATGATGAAGCTTGTATGAGATTTTAATGGTTTGGTTTATATTTACTTCAAGTGATTCCAATATCTCTGTGTAGGATCTTCCCGGGGGTTGATGAGTTCCTGCACTGTAGGCCAAGCTGAGGAGAACCAAGCTAAGAATCGCTACAAAAAGGTCTTACCATGTAAGTATGAGCTCTCCGATAATGTACTCTACACCAGCGTTTCTCAGCTTTTGTTCAATCATGGCACCCTTTAATAGGACACACAATCTTGAAGACCCCCCCAGTCTGAAATGTAAAAAAATGTAAATGTCTTATCAGGGGGGAAAGTTGAGCCTAGGAAAATGCACACAATGACCTTGATGAAATTAACATCACATAAAAAGCCCCCCTTCACACCAGAGGTGATCTTCCATCACATCAGAGCCCCCTCTTTACTTCAGAGTCCCCTTTAACGTCACAGGCCCCATCCTGTTAGAAATTCCCCCATTATGTCAGAGACCCCATCCTGTCAGAGCCATCCCTTCAAATCAGAGTACTCCATCACAAGTTCCCTCTATACATCAGAGGCCCCCATCCCCACAAATTCCCCCATCACAGATTCAAAACACCCCCATCACATCACTTCCCCCCTATACATTGAAGTCCCCATCACATCAGAGTACCCCATGACAAATTTCCCCCCTTAACAAATGGGTCTTGTACTTGAGGTCCCCCAATGGGAACCCAAATGGCACCACCCAGCACTGTGGTTGAGAAACACTGCTCTACACATTGGGGTTGATGTACTAAAGGAGCAGAGAATTGTGTCATGTGAATGTCCACCTAGCTTAGTATTTAGGGGAAAGCTACAGTATGTTCACATTAATCATCCAATCATGTACAAGCTACAAAAATGTTGCTTTAAACAGCCTTTCACATGACTGGATGTTCAACATGAACATAGTCATCACCAAAGTCACTAAGCTAAGTGAACAGTTTCTTATTTAGTAAATCAATCCCAATACATTGTTGGCACTCTTGTGTTGCGGGCCTTTGTCCTGGTTTTACATAGAAACACAGAAAAGTGACGGCAGAAAAAATACTGAGTGGTCCATCGAATCTGCCCGTTTTTTTTTTTTTTTTGTTTGTTTATGTTTTTGCCTGTTTTTTTTACCTAATGTAAATTGGCCCTCTTGGGTAAAAAACAGGATAAGCAGCATTGTTGGTTGATATCAGTTGATGTCTACTGGCAGGGTTCTGTCCATAGAAACACAGGAGAGCCAGACCAAGAAGATGGAAGAGTCCAAGATCATTTTAATTGTTGATAAATCCATCATTTACCACTCCTTCTTCATCAGGGCTCAACACAAGATTAACCTTGAATGGACTCTGAGGAAACCGTGACCACATATCTATATTAGGACCAGAATTAAACTTTCCTTGTAGAGTAACCATTTGCCACTCAGCAACTGTTATATTGTTTACTCCACAAAGAAAGTTCATTTCCAGTCCTAATATAGATCAGTGTGGTGGCTGCCCATTCAAGGTTTATCTCGTGTTGAGATGTGATGAAAAAGGAGAGATTTGGTCTTGAAAATACGTGACCATTTTATTCAGAGGTTGTTTGGAAGTGAGTCCAGCAAGCCCAGGTATGGGAGAACTTGGTCGGAGTATCTTGTGATGAAGCAATCAGCTCTTCCATCTCTGCCCCTTTTCCCAGGCGTGTGAGCCAATCTCGTATGGAAGGAGGGTGGGTGGAGCCCCATAGTACAGGTAGGCAGAGTTTAGCCGCATTGATCATATGTATGGCCAGAGATTTAAAATAAAGGCGTCTGGGAAGGGAGGAATAGTGAAGGAGGAATTGGGCCGAAGAAAAGTCGAGGGATAAGGTGGATACAGATACAGCAATCCGGTGAACCTCTTGCCAAAAGAGCTGAATAATCGGGCAAGACCACCAGATATGGAGAAGAAGTGACCCATCTGGTGTCCCACATCTCCAACATTTGTTAGGCAGGGAGGGATTGTAGCAATGAATTCTAGAAGGGGTGCAGTACCAGCATGAAGCCAGTTTGTAACCATTTTCTTGCGTTGAAACATTGAGCGAGCATTTGTGGGAGTATGTAAATATTAGGTCCCAGTCTGAAGAGGAAAAGTCTATTTCCAAGTCTCTGCCCCATGCTCGGCATGATGGAAGGGAGTCATGGTTCCCACCGCCAACTAAGAGGAGGTACACTACTGAAATCAGATGCCTCTGGGGTTCAGTTTTAGAACAAATGGATTCAAAGGGGGTAAGAGGCTGGGTCCATTTTTGACGGTGTTCATGTGTTTGCAGAAAATGCCTGATTTGGAGGTAAGCCCAAAAGGGGAAAGTGCGATCTCTCATGCTACCCGCCAATGAGGAGTAAGTTTTCAAATGGCCATTATGGAGAAAGTGTTCTACTTTTATCTGGCTATGGGGCCAGTGTTTGGGCAGAAAGTCCTCATGCATTCCTGGAGGGAAGTCAGGATTTAGGCGAACAGAAATTAGGGGGTTAAGGGCATCTGAAATGGAGGCAGACTTGCAGGCCAAACGGAAGATTTTCAAGTTGGTCCCAGCACTGGGTGTGTGAGGAGGACCTGAGGTGTATGCTTCACCAAAAGGCAGGGGATCGATGCTAGTGGGGAAGGTGAAAAAGAGTTTCTCGAAGTGAACCCAAGCTTTGGTGGATGAATGAACATGCCAGTTAATGATTCGGGAGAGGTGGCAGGCCCAATAATAACATTGTAGGTCAGAGAGCCCTATCCCTCCTTTAAGTTTAGGAAGGATCAATTGGGAATATGAAATGCGCGGACGCTTATGATTCCAGAGGAACAATGAGCACATTCTCCTACAGTAGGTAAAAAAGGCGGGCGGTAATTGAATAGGCGGGGTTTGAAAAAGATAGAGGAGGTGGGAAAGTACGTTCATTTTGAGTATCGCGGCCCTCCCGAACCACGAGAAACAAGGGCGGTGCCAGTTATTGAGGTCTTCCTGTATGGAACGGAGGGCTGGGATGAAGTTTTTGGCATGTAGGTCATTTAGATTATGAGTAAGCTGTATGCCAAGATAAGAAAGGGTTTCCTTTTCCCAGTGAAACGGGAATTGAGACTGGCAAAAAGATACCATATCAGGAGAAAGAGTGATGTTAAGGGCATAGGACTTAGAGTAATTGATTTTAAGGTTTGACAGAAATTGGAAGAACGAAAAATCTTTCAACAGGTTGGGCAAGGTGGTTCAGGGATCCACAAGAAACAAAAGAATGTCATCCGCATAAGCAGCAAGTTTGTATTCTTTAGCAGCTGCCGTAATGCCATTGATATCGGGGTTCGAATGAATTTTGCGCAGCAGAGGTTCTAAAGAAAGTACAAAGAGGAGCGGGGAGAGGGGGACATCCTTGACGCGCCCCATTCCCGAGAGGGAAGGGGTTCGACAAGTTTCCATTCACTCACACACGAGCTGTTGGACCAGAGTAGAGGGCCATAATGAAGTTGAGCATATGTTCACCCAAACCGATCACCTGCAGGGATGCTTTTAAATAGTCCCAAGCCACCCTATCGAATGCCTTCTCTGCATCCAAAGAGAGGAAGAACCTGGGGGTGTTGGAGTGGCGAAGCCAGTGGAAGAGATTGAGGGCCTTGGTGGTATTATCTCTTGCTTCCCTGCCGGGAATGAAACCCACTTGGTCCAAGTTGATCAAGGAAGGGAGTAAGGGAAGGAGCCGATTGGCAAGAATTTTTACAAATATTTTGACATCTACATTCAGGAGGGAGATGGGCCTATAATTGGAAACCAGGGTATCATCCTTGTTACCTTTGGGTATGACTGTGATGTATGCTTCTAAAAGTCGATGTCGTGGCAAGAGAGATGAAGAGAAAGTGTTGAAGGCTGAGAGAAAGGGGTCGCTTAGGATGTCTAGAAAGGATTTATAGTAGGCTAATGAAAACCCATCGGGGCCCAGACTCTTACCAGGTTTCATTTGTTTGACAGCACTCTCCAGTTCGTCAGAAGCTAAATATTTTTTCCAACGAATGAGCCGTATCCTCCGAAAGAGCAGCGGGGCTATACATATGAAGAAAGTCGGAGATCAGAGTGACTCTGGGTTTGTCAGTTTCCGGTGGGGGATGTTCAGGAGGGAGGTTGTATAGGGAGTTGTAAAACTGCTCAAAATGAGAAGCGATATCGGCATTGGAAGTAGCAACGGCACCGTCTGAACCTACCTTTTTGCACAGAGGGCTCTGGCCAGGAATTTCCCGCTTTTATTCGCAAAGTCGTAATATAACCTCTGAGACATAATGTATCTACGTTTGGCTGCCTTGCCTAATTCGGTTCGGAGTAGCGAGCGGGCATTCGTGAGTTCGGTCAGTGTCAACGCGGCTTGAGTATGTTTGTGGGCTTTTTCTAGGAAATTAATGCTGGCCGTAAGATCTTTTATACGCTCTTGTCTGTCCCGTTTACGTTTCGTGGCTATAGCTATAAGGGTTCTACGGATGACGCATTTATTAGCTTCCCATTGCGTGAGAGAGGAGGTTTCTAGAGTACAGTTTGTTGAAAAGTATTCAGTCAATTTGGAACAAATCTCTGCTTCAGTTGTTAGGTCCGAAAGAAGAGAGGCGTCCAGCTGCCAGAATTTAGAGCGTGAGTGTTTTTCGGGGAACCGCAGCGTCATGGTTATGGGATGGTGATCAGATAGAACCATCGGTTCTATAGAGACAGCGTGGAGGAGTGGAAGATCCGCCTGTGATAAAAAGTAATCTATCCTGGAATATTTATTGTGCGGTGGAGAAAAGAATGTGTAGTCTTTGACATTAGGGTGAAGGATTCGCCATGAGTCGTGTAGTTGTAGGTCTTGTAGTTGCATGCGAATCTGCCTGAGAGATTTGTATGGCAAGAAGGAACTGCCTGAAGAGGAGTCCAGCAATGGGCATAAAGGGACATTCAGGTCTCCCCCCAAGATCAGCATACCTGACCGAAAGGTGGAAAGAGAAGCAATGGTCGAGCGTACAAAGGAGGCCTGCTTGGAATTGGGAGCGTAGAGATTAGCGAGCATAATGGGCCTATTGGTAAACACGCCTTTTAGGAACAAAAATCTACCTTCGGGATCCGGAAGAGAGTCTGTCACCGTCAAAGGGAGATATCTTGCAATCAGAATGGCTACACCCTTTGATTTAGCCAAGGTATGGAG